TAAATTATTATCGTTTGCTAGATATTATCTTTGGAAATCATGTGAAAATGTAGGAGTAATTAAACTAAATGTATACATGGTGATATTATATACAGATCTCCTTCTTCGTCGCGTGTCGACAAAAACCTTCTATATTAATAGAAACAACGTTTAATGCTGGTTCTGAAAGCGGAGATTTTTGTCCCTCATGAGGTCTGTCCTCTGGCTCTGGGAAAGGCCGTTGGGGAAGCTCTGAGTCGTGGTGGGAGGATCAGCCAGTCTGCGTTACTGACTTGCCGGCCGCAGACGGTTGCCCAGTATGCACCGGGCGCATAATATTATATCGATGCGCTACATGGGGAGGCTCCTTCCATGCATCCCATTATATACAGATGATGGTATAGTATAAAGTGGAGAACTTGTGTGATCTTTGAATGGACGTAGTGATAAAAATAGAGAAATTTATATACCAGCTGTATACCAAGTGACGGGACTAACAAGTCGTGCGTCTAGTGGTACGAAATACGCCGCTCCATAACAGTTGCAGTGCCACTCAGAGCTTTAAATCGCAAAGATCGGAGGGGCGTTGTCACTGCCCTCGTAACCTTGAGATAAGTTGAAGAATCCCATGTGCACCATCAGCACCTTCTTAGGCGTCAAGAAATTAGACGCGCTGCAATGGTAAAACTGTGATGCAGCAGCCGCGCCACTAAATACAACGTACAACATCCAGAAGCGCAGAAGCATGTCAGTGTGACACGCGCGACTTAAGGAAAAGTAAAAGACAGTCTTATGAGACCTGGTTTATTGTAGTCTGAAGTCTGGCACAAGAAGAAGCTCGAGTATTACTACAATGAAGCTTATATACTAATTAAACCGTGCTAAAAGTTGCAATTCTACAAATTAAGTTACGCATGGTGCAAACTCTAACTAACTTAAGTAAAACAAACATCTGAGGATGCTTAATTCACGCGCCACTTTTGCAAGCAGTCACATTTACTAACTCCGCTGGCTCAGTTTCCCACACCAGGTTTTGACTTCTGATACGAGTTGATGCCAACGCACCCTGTGCAACGCATCTTGTGCGATCTCGTTCCAGTGCCTACTGGAAGACCGGTTAATCAATCCAAATTCCGTTGGAGAGACGATGTGGTGGATAACCTCTGCGCTGCAAACACAGAACACAATCACAATTATTGAAGTAAATAAATAAATAATAAATTAGACAACATCTCATACGTTGCCCTGATCCCAAAGTAAGCAACTTAAGCACTTGTGTTATGAAAATGGGAAACAACGACGGTGCCACAAACACCCAGACCCGAGACATTAGAAAGAAGTTTTTCTTCATTGATCCGGCCGAGGATCGAACCCGGGATCTCAGAGACGGCGACACTATGAAAACCGGTGGGTATACCATTTGACCTCGCAGGTCGTCTAAATAAAACGTCCTTGCGGCTGCCGCGCCACTGCAGCGCTACAAAAGAGCGTCTTTCGCTACAATTGGCGTCTAAGAGTCCCCCCCATACTAGCGTCTTTCGAACGTCAGCATCTTGCCGAAGCACGCACAGCATCGACACAACGTTCACACGACCGCGATACTGCACCACCACAGCATATACTCGACGTTCGTCGTGTCGACGCTGTGTGTGCTTTGGCAAGTCGCTGACACTCGAAAGAAGCTAGTGTGAGAGGTCTCCTATATGAATGTCCCTTACTCTTCAAAACTGAAACCCAGAAGGTAATGCTCACATTACTGCTTGGCGGTAGAAATATGAAAGCGCATCGCGCATGTGTAAAACTTTTCAACAATAAGTTCATTGCGTTTCAACGTTTATGTTCCGTCAATAAGAATGAGCGGAATCTAGGTCAGTGCTCTGTCAAATACACTTTGTTTTTAATTAATTTGATTGCTACCATGAAAACCATCACGGCAGCCATAAAACAAGATGGCATGCAATAAACTGAATTACTTCAAGGAAGGTCTTCATTGCCAATTTTATAGTCATCAACATTGTATCTATCCTAAACTATTTATTTATTTATCGGTGCTTTATATGTGTTGTTATTACCAAGTATATTAATTATACTTGCAATGCATTTATGAATTTATTTATATTTGGTTCTGTTTTGTAAATATTCTGGAAGTTTATAAAATATTTTTACTGACATAGGATTTTGATAGACGTTGTTTGATTCGGACATAACAATTTTATATTTCAATAAAACTCAGAATAATTAAGATATTGAGCTGATATTTATTCCAGTTGCAGTGTACATGCTACATTTAAGAATGGTATTCGATCTTGTTCATATGACCACCGTGAACACATTCGCGGGGTCCAATTCTTTGGAGCCAATTGTTCACCAGTCACATATCGGCCGAAACGTTGGCAATTTCGCATTTGATATTATTCCTGCTCTTATTTGATGTTGTTGGCTTGTTAGCATAAGCCGATGACTTAATGTAATCACATAAAAAGTAATCGAATGTAGGCAAAGATCACAGAACATCACCTTACTCTATCCTGACACGACTACCCTTTTCACACAACTTCTTTTATTCTTGTCATCATCGATCCTAGCCTTTTTGAGGACATCACTGATCTGGTCAATGTAAGTCCTTTTGAGACGTGCTTCTAGAACTCTTTCATCCACATTCGCATCATAAATCGGTTTGATGATTCTTCTTACATCCATCCGCTCTACATGCCTAAACCACCTCAACATTCCTTTCTCTATTCTAGTCACCACATCCTCTTTCAAGCCGCATCTTTCACGTATTATTGTTTTCTTCATTGTATCATTCAACTTTATTTCACAATTTTTTTTTCAAAGATCTCATCTCCATTGCGTTAATTCTACTTTCATGCTTCATCTGCCACACCCAATTTTCACTACCAAACTTCAGTGTAGAAACTAGCAAAGCGTTGTGTATGGACATGTATGTACATTGACATTGAGTCGATCACAGCGCGAAAACATGTATATATAGAATATACATAGAATAGAGTTTCAGGCGGTGACCGCAGGTTCTGCAGGTAACCAACAGATGTTAAAAAGAAGAATGGCGACATCCCGTGTATTTTGTAATCCAGTGTTTTTGACGACGTGCATTAAGGAGACCTATCAATATTTGTGATTCATTATTAAAGTTTCTTTATTTTTTAAGTTTCTTCGTAATTTATTTGTCACCGAAGTAAGTTTAAAAGTATGTAAGAAGTTGAGACCTTCCAGTGCCGTTTGTATCCGGTATTTAATATTCTTTTACATTTAATATTTTATATATATATATATATATATATATATATATATATATATACTCGTGTGCCAATCGCAATAATAAATTGATTTTAAGCATGTCTTATAAATTTAAAATGTAATTCCTGTGATGATTGGCAATTGTCAGCAGCGAATGTCCATGTATGAAGGTGGAACCTGAAAAGCAGCAGTAGTGCCTAGGTTCCATGCTTTTGTATGTCGTAAAATTGGCATAACTTACTGGCACAACAATGTCTAGAAACTATTTTTACAGTAAAAATCTGGCAAAACAATTTCATTTCCTATGTGCAAACCAATATGCAACCAACCTGCGAAAACCTAAGAAGTCAATACAACAATGTCACTTAAAACCTTTTAGACGTGCATACCTACACAATAAATGGTTTGATTGATCGAAAATTACGCTAATTATTAATGGTAATGACTCATTATCCGTGAGTTTAAATTTAAATAAATTCTCTACATCATACGAAAAACAAGTTTAACTTATAAAGTCATCTTGAGTAACAGCACAAACGATCCCTTTTAGAGTTTCGGTGTAAGTTGGAAGTTTGTAAAGGTAGTTGACAATTTGGCCTCAAACTTGAATACGGGACCCTTGTTTGGTATTGCTTACAATTGAACTAGGAAGCTGTTTCAATAATAACAAAGACAGTTACAAATTGACAAATTGTTCCCAGTGGTTACTTTCGTTAACTATGGGCCAAACACTGTCATTAGAGGAGACCACAGCAGTAAAACGTATTTAGGGATGATGTTCAATTGCCTGATGTCCTAAATGTTGTTGTTCTAACTAATAATCAGGCCCCACGGTTACGCTTAACTAACACGGGACTTGGGGCCTGTAAAGGGCCCGAGACGTTGGTTTGTTTGAAAAACAAATACACGCGATTTAAATCCGGTAAAAATAGTTTAATTTCCTGTTATGAATAACTATCAAAATATTTTTAGAAACCAACAGAAACCGTCTAAAAGTCTTTTCAATATAAAAATATTTACAGGATATATTTTCATAAACTTATTGTGATCTTCCGAAATTGACCTTTTTTGGCGTTTGTGGCATCTGAACCCGGCGTCGGGTTAAATTTTGCAACGGAACCCGAATGAGCCCAAATGCGAGTATCATGTGATCTCGAGACTGGTTGCTTGTCAAAAACAATTAAATTTGAGTCCCGGGTTCAGTTGCACCTCGAGAGATCACATTAAATTTGTATAATATATAGATGTTGGTACATTTTGTTGCTTTAAGGGGTTATAAGCTTGTTTCCGAACACTATTCCGATGATATAATTTTAGCAAGTAGGAGGCGATTGATAGTACCCAATCTTCGCTTTATTATTGAATTGTATACAATACACGACGATTATGACGATATCTATCGAAAATGAATTCGGGTTCAGACGATACAAATTTAATGTCATCTTTCGAGGTGTAACTGTCCCCGGGACTGGAATAAAATTTAATTATTTTTGACAAACAACCAGTCTCGTGATCACACGATTTGGGCTCATTCGAGTTCCGTTACAACTTTAAACCGACACCGGGTTCAGATGCTACAAACCCTTTTTTTGGATGGTGACAGTATATACCGAATGAACAATTTGTTCCTATCATAAACACGTTAATAATGTTGACTGTTATTGGTTTCAGGCGGTCGATTATTTGAAAAAGCGGACACCGGCGAGAGCGGCGCTTATGATCACAGCAGTGTGGTTAATGAGCGCGCTCGTGTGTCTGCCACCTTTAATCGGCTGGCGGAAGGAGCGCGAGCCAGAACAGTACCCACAATGCAAGGTAAGTCATCGACAACATTACACAAACACTATATCGCGCGTGATACAGCAATCGTGCGCGTGTAAAGACTTTGGAAGGAAATGGGAAAGATCTCGAATTGCGCTTATCCGTCGCGCGCGCAATCGCTCACTCCAACAAGCGCCAGTTTCACGCGATCTATTCCTTTTTTTTCGAATTTCGAAGACAGCAAAACTATACATTAGGAATTTAGCACGAAAAAAGCCGTTCCGATTGCAATTCCTTCACAGATTTTGTGGGGTCGCAACACGTAGTCGCAAATTCTATGCGTATTTACGCTACGAGGATTTAATATCTTGCGTGTCTCAACGAGTCTTTTTATTCCGAACGGAAATAAATGTACGTGTATACGAATCTCGAACCAAAGTTCCGAAATAGAATTCCGACTGTATGTGGCCGGCCTTACGTTGCGACGCAACGGACCGGTAACGCCCGTGTGTCGTCGCTCTAAGCCTGATATTAATTTAGTCGAGTAAGTACATTGACTTACAATACTAAAGTCAATGAGTAAGTACAATCATCTCAAACTCACCTTTGAGAAAGTCTAAACAGCTTTAACTCTTATAAAAGCGTACGATATGACAAAATTGTCGCTTTATTCATTTGTGAATACATAACCTCTGTCACTTAGAGAATACTTATATGAAACCATAACACGTCCTCTGAGGGTAGTCTATTTAATACATGTGCAAGATTTTAAGCATGAAATGTTGAAAACAAAGTTTCAAAATGGCGCTTAGTTTGTATAAAATAGACAAGTTGTTTGCGTTAAGTAGCTCGTGTAGTGCGCGGAGAAACACCTGAATATTTTAATATTTCGAACTTAAACTTTTGAACGTTATATTTTATGTTACTAGGTACCTAATTATATCGCTGGTGTCAAAAACAGTGGCTCAATCCCAAATTGACCCTATTTTTAATTATTACTGAGATTTATTTAGATAATATATTGTGACTGGCATTCCAAGCTTCTCATTGGTTAAAATAATCACATGACAACATTGGGATAGTCTACGATTCGTCAACTTTGAGCGGCAGACGCTTCTCAGCTTTTTTAAACCATTTCCCTGAAGCATTAGATGGTTTTGAGATAGGCCACTATTCTTGTTGGCAACAGTTTATGTGGGCAACACTAGCCCTTGCTCTCCTTTATTCCAACCTTAATGGCGCAATTGTGCACAGTGTTAAATAAATTCAATATAAATTAAATATTAAGTTTTTCACTTCTAAACTATACATACATATTATCATACCTGTCTCCCACCGAGGTAAGCAGAGACTATGAACTTGCTATATTCCTGACAAACCTCATTCGCTTCCTCCACTCCCTTTAGTCTTTTTTAAAGACATCTCTAATCAGATCAAGATGTGTATGACGAGGTCTACCTCTCCTTACGCCTCCATCCACATTCGCTCTATAAATTTGTGCCGTCAATTGAACAACATTCATTCTTTCTACACAACCAAACCCCTGCTGTCTCTATGCTGGTCACTACATCATCGTTCATACCACAATGCTCTCTAACTACACTGTTTGGCATTCTGTCTTTAAGACGAATGCCATAATATTCACAATATATTATTATATTCTAGACGGAATGTCGATTTCCTACTTTGTATTTCTTTTCTTTTCGCCGTTCTGCTTATTTGTTGGTGAAAAATTTGACAGTTGAATATTTTTTCCCGTAGACTTGACATGGTGGCCTTGAATATTTGAGGCCATAGACGGAAATTCAAACATTGAAACGTCAGAAATAATTCCATTGGTAGCTTGGCGAGTAAATGGCATAAAGGCTTAAGTTGCTTCGCTCGCTGCAATTTCAATGAATGCTGAAATGTTGCTTGTTAAGTGATAACTCGACGGTTCGAGTCCCTATAGCGTCATGCACCTATGGTTTTTATTTCTAAATCATCAATATCAATAGTATATAACCAGAAATAAAGACGAAATATCCTTAATATTTTTTTAAAACTATTCTGACACATCATTATTGTGACAACTGCGCTCCGATTGGTCAGCCTGAATTCGAAACAATTGACGGGTGTCGTCAATTGTTTCACTTCAAATCGACCAGTTAACTTGAGCTTTGCTATAATGAACGAAAATTGCAAAATTACATATTTAATACCTAATTAATTACCGATGAAAATTGATTCCGTTTGTTTTGTAATTAGATGTTTTGCTATTTTTCCCCGCACCACTGAATTAGAGATATTATCTTTATTACAATAATTACAGAACATTTTTGGAATATACGGAGACGCATAGTCACAGTCAGTCACAGGTCAGTTGTTAGCGATGTCTATATTTCAGTGCAAAAGAGAGTTGATATTTATAAGTGATGTATCACTGATGAGTTATCAGGAATGTAATGCCCTTATTTTGTGTCTATTTCTGGTTATATACTCGACGTTTCTAATTTACATTTGTGAATGTATAATAACAATACATCACGCTAACGATGAAGGAAAACATCGCTATGAAACCAGCATTTCAAAGAAAGCTCACAACCGTTGGAATAAAGTCTATAATCCCTAACCCGTATTAGACCAGGCATAAAACCCTCTCATAATTTACTGAACCTTATTAATATTACTTCGAAATCAAATCAGTGTTCAATTCATTTAACGACAGTTCGTCCAAAACTTACCTTTATTCGTATACATTTACAATTCTTATTACCGCGAAATGTGTTGTTGACCGTAGGGACATTCAATTTTATTGGAAAAACAGCTTGAAAAGACCAGTATTGATTGAAACGTCACAAGAGATCTAAGGCATTCCTTTCATAATATTTGAACAAATAGATTTCGGCAAACAAATATTATTTCGTTATATTATTATATCTATTATTTGTATTAAGGGTCGACCGTAAATGGAAATTGAATCAAATCGGGGTAGTATAATATTTGCTCAATAACTCTGAACGTTACTTGTGTGCCCAACTTGTTCTGGTTGTACAATTTTGACATAGATATGGTGAGAGCCTTGTTCGTAGTATGTTTGCCTTGTAAACCAAAGAAGTAATCTTTTCGCTTTTTCAAATCTTTGTTTACTTAATGATACCTAAGTTATTCCGTCGATGATTTCATAATCCATTTTGAATCAGTGTTGTAAAACATCAATTTTTTTCTTCTTTTTTTTTCGTTTTAATCGCAAAGTTTTGAGGGGCGTTGCCCTTACGCCCGTTTTAAGTTGACAAATCCTATGTTCCAGTGATTTCATTAGCACCCTTACCTCTACTGTTACTAAAACTCCTATTCCATTCCCAGTTAATACAATATTGCTAGGTAATTAACTAATCTAGAAATTTCAGGAGAGATAGGAAATTTAAACAAACTCTACTTAGAAATTCACAAAGCTCATTTTCAAATATCCTTGATTATAATTACTCCGCCTATTCTTATAATTGTGAATTTTCCAGTTAGAAACCTAGTATTTGGCGCAATTGTCGGTCTTCATCACAATTGTCACACTTTTTGGTAATATTTTTTCCGGAATCTTTTTATGCCATAAAAGTTTATAATTGGTCATTTGTTTAATCATCATCATTCAAAGCTCGGTTTCATCCATTGGTTACTATAAATCTCCTGTAAATTGTGTCCTCCACAACGATCTTGCTCTAGTCTCACCCATCCACGGCCCGCAACTTTGCCAGTTCTGCATAAATCTACTTTATATCAGTTAGTGTTTTACATAAGATGCGTCGTCGCGTACTTCCTTAGATTTTCTTATATTCCCTTTGAGTGAAATCAGCACAGGATTAAAGATACATGAGGCAGTGACTTGCATATCAAATGAAGTTTTATTTTACATCTCCCTTCCTTCTCTTCGTGTGTACCATTTTCTGACTGACATGGGTTATTATAAGTATCAAGTGATATCTTACTGTTCCCACAACGTTCCTTGCGGTAAAACAACGACTTAGGTATAGCATTGGTAGGCATGAAGTCCCTTACAATACCACACGCATCTATCACATAGGTGCGTGATTCTGCGACGCTTCAGCTCTGTGCGACGCTATAGCAACTCCGGCTTTACGTCCTTGTAATTAGAATAAAAACTACATTGTGCTTTTCACTTTGGCTCGGAAGATATCGATGGTCGAAATTGGAAATGTCGAATGGAATATTTTCCCTTACGGTAAAACGCCCCTTTCAAATTTCCACCATCAATCTAAAGGTAACAATTTTGTAATGTATCGAATTTTAAAATGTCGTAAGGGAAAATGTCCCTTACGACATTTCAAATTTCTACCGTCGATATTGCGGTGCGTATTACTTTTATTACAATTACTTTAAACAGTTTCTTTCTTAATATCGTAGGTCCCCTAGGTATAAGAAAAGGCGTTCATAGCTGTAGCGGACTGTATCAATGATTCGGGTGCGTGCTATTTGTATGGTCCCATACATTCTTCGATACAACTCTGACACACGGCGATCTACTTTAGTCACGTGCCGCGCTTAACTTAAATACGTGATTCACACTTTATTTTATAAGTATAGTACGTTACCAACTGTCCAACAATACACGACATTAAGGAAAGATTTGGCACCATAGTGTCTGTATTTTACGTATACTAATATACTTTTCACTTTTCTTTGCAACTCTTTCTCTGCGTACTACCATTACAATCATGAGAAGTGAGCAAGACCAAAGGAATCGTTCTTACAGTTTATTTTACAAACAACGCACCGCTATCAACCAAAACAGAGAGAAGAAGAAAAAACCATAGTGACAATAACCATCGAGAATATAACCAGAAATAGAGACGAAATGTCATTTATTTTGTTTGAAAACTATTCTGCCAAATCATTACGGTGACAACTGCGCTCCGATTGGCCAGCCCAAAATTCGAATCGACTTCAAATGGATCAGTTTAACTTGAGCTTTGCTTTAATGGACGAAAATTGAAAAATTACATATTTAATAGGTATTTCATTACCGATGAAATGTGATTCCGTTTGTTTTGTAATTACAT